TAAGCCTAGATGGTAACCAAGTTGTGACCTTATGTATTATTTCTGAGAGAGTAATTTTTTCACAAGACCCCCTGTCTGGAGCCTCTGTGCATATGATCTGCCTGAATGTGAGTGGAATGCTCTGCTGTCACTGCTTGAGTGCTAAGGCCACATTTTCTCTGCCCTAGGGCCAGGGGAAAAATGCCTGAAGACTTCCATCCCAGCGTGGGGCTGCGGGGCACAGAGCTGTGTGAAACTCTCTCTTGAGACTGTTTGGCTATGCCTTGTACTTCATGCATGGCTATGCCCATTGATTGTTTCAGCCAAATCCATATAGAAAATAGGTCAGCCATGCAGTGGCTCAGGAAGAGAGCTTTAACTGTGTGGGTTGCAATCTAGAAAGCAGTGTGTGTGCATCATCATGGAGGAGGCTGGAACCAGTTCCAAAGATTTTATCAAGCATTGAGGAATCTAGTTCTTAGATGGCTGTTTGTATTAGAGCATTGTGGGGAATATCCCATGCAAGTCATCCAGTTGCTTCAGTGTGAGTAAAAATTTCTTACTATAAGGCAATGTGCTAAATAAAATCCTTCGATTATTTTCTCTTCCACAAATGGAAATTGAAAAAAATGAAGTAAATCTCTTCCTCAGCCCCATTCTAAGGTATTCAGAACAAAAATGTATCATTCCTTTGGGGAAAATATATTTTGTGGCAATCCTCCTGGTGTAATTCTAGAAAGTCATCAATTCCAGAGGGTGCAGTAAAACTTGGTGGTTTCTGTGGTGCCACAGACAGTAGATGCTTCTGTACTCTCCAATTTTAATGAATAATAGCACAGTTGCTTTTTGAGATCCCAGAAACAGGTTTCTCTATGGTATATTAGGCAGGAGTATGATGAGTGCCTTTCTAATGCTGACCAAGGTAAACCTGTGTTTAATTTCCTTTTAACCTTGTGTTACACTTGACACTTGGTACAGATGGAGACTGATAAAAAGTTCTTCAGGGAAAGCTGATTTCCCTCCTCAGCAAATACAGAAACCCTTCACACTTGAAAGAGCATGAGTAAAAGGCTGACTACAATTGAAGAACACCTCAGCAAGATTTCTAGTTTGTTGCTTGGAAAAATTTGGATTTTGCATTTGCTCGTAATTATTTCTGTGATTTGAAAGCACAAGACAATATATCCAGTTGCTGTCTTCTGGTTAATAGGGAGGAGTGTCTGCTTATATTAATAGCTGTGTGGCTCCCTAGTCCTGACTGCAGGCACCCTGGAGCCTTAAATACTCATTGCAGTTCCTGTTTTAAATAGCACTGCTAAAACCGGCAAAATTTCCATGTCTTTGGAGAAAGCATGCATCAATCTAACTTTAAATTTCTTTTTTTTTTTTTTTTTCTCAAACTGTCTTCATAGTTGTCTGTTTGCACTGGCAAGTTTAGAATGCAAAATCACTTGCCTCATGTTGAGAAAAATATTTGGTGGATTGATCCAACTGTTCAAATTTTGATGAAAACGTAGTCATTAGTCCATAGAATTCACAGAGCATATTCAAGGTAGGATTTTAGAATTTCCACATGTAAAGAATGGTATGAATGGAAGGATAGTCTTGTAGCTTAAGAAATTTATGAAGGCTTTTGATCAGTGTGGAACTGATTTTTTTTTTCCTCAAAAACTTCATGAAATCATGACAGGAATAAATACAATTAACTTTAGATCAAATTAAGTGCTTGCTTTGATGCAGTTAAAGTTAAAGGTTCCCAAACAGGTTGCATGATATTAATAAAACTAGCCAAGAGGAAATGCCTTTCCTAGAAGCAATTACAGAGCTTTCAGAAAGGAGAGAATGAAGTTAAACCTTGTGTGTGTTAGGCATGAAGCTGTAGGGTGAGGACACCCTCCTTTGTTTTGCTTTATATATGGCACCTACACACCTTTATGAATCCTACCTGAAAAATCTATTTTAATTTCACTTGTAGAAATGTGCAAGGGTTTCAATCTCCATATTTATTTTTAAAATATGGATGCAAATTTTTATAAGGTTTGACCTGATTTTTGTAAATCACTCAGATCTACTAAACTCTTGGCCAGAAAAAGTGTGTGCAACTCTGTTCAAGAGATCTGGATTCACTTAGCCCAGCTGCAGTCTTTTGTTTGTGATCCCCAGCATGCCTTATTTCCCCACTTCTAAAAGAAGCATCATAACGTTTGCTTTCATATTCCATTTTTCTGTGTTAGCTATTCAGAGGACAAACCTTTCAGGTCAAACATAATCTTTTACTGCGTATTTATGTATGGCCCTGATCTTAATTTGGACCTTCTGGGAGGTTAAAATAAACAAAAATAAACATCTAGCAATAGAGAAAAAGCAGAATGCAAGGTAACATTGATACAATTTCTCTGCTGAGCAACCTGCCCAAGGATGAACTCACCAGACAGAAGTAATTACAAGTATCTGAGTTTAAGCAAAGGCTCCCTAAGAATTTTCACATTGTCCAGGTATCAATCTATCTCACTGACTGAATGGTGGCCTACATGAATGCTAAAAGGTGGTGAAATTGTGCCCTTTCCAGACAAAAACATTTGGTTGTGTGGTGGCAAGGAAATAGCATAGAGGAGACCAGGCTTTCAGTCATGAGTTAGGCATGGTTTGCAAAACATTTTGGTAGACAGAGGCAGAGACTAAATTTGTAGTATGACACTGAAAATCTACAGCTGATCTGAAAATGAGTATCAATTTAGATCATCTCTGCACTTAACTGCATGTCATATGTTCCAGATCTGTGGGAGATGCAGCATGATAATCAACTATATGTAGAAAAAGTAACTGACCACACCAATGGTAAATTTTAGAACTAACACAGTTGTTTCTTAGTCAGAGTTTAATGTGTGCAACTATACCATGCATGAGATGGTGGTGGGCATCATGACAGAGTAGTTATTCTCTTAGAAGAACTAGCAAATACCAGTAAAAAATGTTTTAACTGTTGGTTAAAATAATACATGAAATGTGGTTTCATGATATCTTCCAGTGTATCTTGAAGATAATTTGCACTTCTAAGCAATATTTTCTAAGCAAAAAAAATAGGTTTAAATGATAGAGGGAGTTAAAAGGTAAAAGTATCTTCTCAAATAGGCTTTGAAGTGGTGAAGAGCAAGGAATACTGATGGAATACAGGATTCTGACTTATATGTAGCAAGAACTAAAAAAAGATCATCCATCCCTGCCCATGTTATGGGCAGATTTTTGTTAGTAATAAATTGAAATGGGGAAAAAATAAGGTAAGAAACTGAAATGAGAGCAGTAGTGGCAGAAAAGCATCTAATGGGGTTGCTGTATTTTTAAAAAGCAGATAGGTTTTATTGCAGTTGCTGTAATGTACTGCGTTGTAAATGCCTGGTCTGTCTAATGATGTAATAAACATGTGAAAAAAGGCAGTTTAAGCAGGTATTTATATAATATATCCTTGCTGTTTTCTTTCCCAACTGTTACTCTACAACCATGGAAAACACAATCGTTAGTAAAATATTAATAAATGCATTCAGATGTTTAATGCTAAACTTAGGTTTGGTACTCTGTCTTTCAGCCAAGAAGCTGCATTACTTAGGAATCCAATCCCATTGTCAGTTTAATATATTATGGGCAGCGTAGGAATTAGATGCCTGTTATAAACAAAGTTGAAAACCCAGAACAAAGGTTTACAACATGAATATTCTGCAAAGACACTCGTGATGCTGTGAGAACTTCATTTCTCCATTGTCACAGGATACCTGTAAAGTTAGCGCTTTTGTCTCATTCAAACTTGCCAGGTACAAATATTTGAAACAAATGTTTCGAAATTTCAACATAGCCTAAACTGTAAGCAGAAATATCAAAGTTCTGACCCTATGTAAAGGAAGATTATACACAGTGCAGCAAACTTTCTGTCTTCCCTGTTTGTTTTTTTTTTTACCTGCTGAGAGTGCACACTCATTGTGCTTCCGGATGCTCCAGAATATCAAAATGCTTAAAAAACCATTGTGTTCATCTTGGCAGGAAATTCTTCATGAAGGCGATACTACCTTTCTTTATCCTTAAACTTAGGTCTCTGTTTATATCCTCTAGAACTCATGCTTCTTATTCCCTCCCTCTACCCCAACTATACACATTGTCTCTGAGCCTTTTCATCGTGGAATTTCTACATATCTAGAAAAAGGGAGAACTTCCTATGTAGCATCCTCTTTCTGTGCACATACACAAAACACAGATCTGGAACCTATTATTTGTTATGGGATTTCTTTTACCGAGAACCCAGTTAACAAATTTATCTTTGCAGTCAGAGAAGGATTTCTTTTCAGGACAAAACCTATTTGAAGTACTCCTCTGAGTACATATGGACTTGCTAGGTCCACAATTTGATTTTGGTTCATTTTTAGGTTTTCTCCCACAAAGACTGTCCAGTCTCTCTGGTCTTTCATCTCTGAAATAGCTAAACTGTTTTCTGTGTTGGCTTGGAGCTACTATTCACAGCACCAGTATACAAAATAGCAAGTTGGAGATGTCCTATTATCTGGCCCCATTTTTGAAATGAACATGATTTCTTAATATAATGAAAAAAACAGGTGTTCAGTGGTGGGTGCCCATTTTACAGGTTTAGAAAACAGAACATACAAAGTGGTTGTTCTTTAACATTTTGGTGGGAAATAGTACTTGAACAGCCTTTGGTGTGGGACAGCTCCTACACTAAAAGTGGGTGTTACAGTATCTGGGTAGTTTATCTGTCATTGCACAAGCTGAAGTTTTGAGACAAAGATGTTTATTGATTACAGTTGATACTAGTTTTGGTTCTCAGTGAAGTAAAACTGAGATTACCCCATTAACCTCAGTAAAGACAATGCAGCCAAGATCCTCTGCAGTCATTGCCTGCCACTTCAGGGTTCAGATTTCAGCCTTCATGGGTGACTGGCGCTTAATGTCTATGGGTCAGCCGTGATTTTCACATGCCTATCTGCTGCTACTTCTTTGTATCTGATGCTCTCATCTGGAGCCCCAGCCTCTAGAGCAAAACTCTCAAGCTGCGTCCATGCTCATTTTGCCTGAGGACTGAAACCCAAAGACTCCCAGCACTGAAGCGTAAATTGTCATACCTTGAGCTAAGAACTGAGTGCCCTGACAGTTTCTTACCTTCTGGGGTGGCACAACGGGAGGAAGGTCTGGCTTGCGGTTACTGGTGATTGCTGACACTGGTGCACTGTCATGCTGCCTCACTGGAATGCAGGTCAGGACCTTCGTGGAAGCCAGGTAAGTAGTGCTTCCATTCTGGGATCTCAGATGCCTGTGCAACACTAACCGGTATTTCAGAAGGCCTGATGGAGAGAGAAAATATGTTTCTTACAGACATGCTGTAAAGAGAAGTGAAATATCTTTAAAAGTAAAATGTAAAACTACAAAATTTTAAATCAGTAACAATGTGTCTGGCATTTAACTTATAAATTAGTGCCATTTAAAACAAAATACTGGAAAATAACATATGAAATGTCCAAGTCTAGAAAGTTTTTACTTCTTTATTAACATAGGGTAACCTCATTAAACAATGCAACAAAACAAGGTATGTCACTCCCTGCCTCCCATTTGATTCTAGTGAGGCAAAACACTGTAACTGGAAATTGGGTCTTGGCAGCCAAATCAGGTTGATAAACATGTATCCTTCCTTAATTGTGCAACAGAGTTGATTGAAACAGAAGCTGTAACTACCACCAAAAAAAAAAAAAATCCCCTAAAATCTAAAATACTGCTGAAAAGCTCCTTGAAATTATAATTTCAACATTTTCTGTAGGCTGTACTGACAGATTACAGAGAAGTTATTCGCATAACTAGCTGCCATACTTCAGTGGTTTTGTAGTAGAGCAATGCATCATTAAGAGAACTGTGCCTTTGCAAATTGTTTTGTTCTGTTGCCCATGTTTTCCTTCATATGAATTTTTAATCCTCATGTCCTTCTATAGGCTTCCTTCTCTACTTTCTTCTGGTTTTAATTCCTTGCTCCTTTATACTGTCTGTATCTCCCTTCTCTCCTTTTTATCTCTCACATAATAAAGAACAGCAGATATTGCACAATAATGCTACAGTAAGTGAGACAAACTACGCTGAGAAATGGAGCAAAGTTTTGATCTTCCAGACTTTGGTAAGAATACTGTGATGTTAACATTGTTGCAGTCAATACAGTTACACAGGTTGCGAGATGAAGAATCGTGGACAGTTCTAAGTACCCTACCTAGAATAACTCTAGGAGGATTACCCCATGATTTATACAGTGCACAAAATTCGGGTTCTGTGTCACAGAAGCATATTTGTTTGGATGACAAACATTTTTTGGTAAGAGTTTTTCATATGATTCTAGTCTTTTAGAGAATCCAAGTCTTTGGCAAAATCATCTCCCTTGTTTTATGGAAAAATTATCTGCATTTTCCCAATGAGAGAAAGACCTGAGGGCTTTGCCTGAAGAGTCACAAAAATTTGTGACAAAAGTAGCAGGAGAATCCTTATGGTTAAAATACATTTAATTTAAATCCATATTTAAACCCTGAATTTGTACCTCAAATTAGAGCCAATGATTGGTACATCTAGTCAGAGATTCTGCAGTGTTCTTTGTTAACTCTTCTTGGATCTCCGTTCCTCCAAATCTCTTAATCTGTTTAATCTCCATTAATCTGAAATTCCTGCCACAGAAATCAGTGAATTTCATTGGAATTTACAAGCATTTAGAGTTGAGCATATGTTTCTGTGCCAGTCTGTGCCTAGCACTCTGGCACTAAAATATCTAGAACTGGATAGACACTAGAGTTTCAAAAAAGCTGGATGACTTTTTTTTTTTTTAAATTTTTGTGGGATTTAATATTCAATTTTGATACTGTTACAAGAAATTGCAATTCAACAGTTAATTCTCTTGAGTCAGTATAATGCATGGCTTGAAACACGCTAAATCTTTCTAAATGCATCTGTTATAACTGGGGGATCAGTGCTGACTGAGGCTTCTATTTGATAATATTTTTTAGCTATAGGAATGGATTTATTCTCTATTGTTTAGCACTACTGAAGGTTTGGAAAAGTAGCATATGTGTCCTGTATCTGCCTTTGCATCATGATCACAATGATCCTTTGATTTTCACTGAAAATATTAATAAAACAAGCTACATTTTAATAGTGACTTGATAAATTTCTTTACAAAGGGTCTCGCATTTCTAGATATGAATAACCTAGATTTCTGCTATAGTCTGTCCCACAGATTTTTTTAAATTTTTAAATAGATGTGTCAAAGTTGAAAAAAAACATAAATATTTTCAGTTTATTCTTCTGCAAAGCCACATTTTCACATCAGTCTTTACATCAAACTGCCACCAAGGCCCAGGAGAAGTTCCACATATAGAGTATGTGGTGAATACAGCAGTTATTTCCGAGTTAGTTTTGCATGCTGCCTTCTCCCTGCTGCTGTCATTTGCATGTGCTGACTTTTCCTGTGCAAAAGTAATCTGAGAAACACTCTGTGCAATTTGATTTCTTTCACATGCTTAAAAGAAAAGTAGAATAAATAGAACGGAAGGATTTGAAAGATCAGTAGCTGTGATAACTCCAGCAATTGCACTGGAGACAATAAGCATCACAGATTGAACATTCTACAGGAAGTCAAAGTCTTCCTCTTGATTTATTTAATTTTTAGTTTTGTCACAGAGGTGGTATACACTAACAGCAGTCTAGTGTTAGTCATCAAGTGCATATTTACTGTGATTAATTAACAACATTAATTTCTCTTAATAACACATGTGCAAACAGTATTTCACAAAATGTCTCAACTTTCCCTTGCTTAATCATTTTGGTGAAAAAAAAGAAGCCTGTGTTTTTAAAGACAATATAAATTCACATATTTACCATATTTACCTAGCTTTCTCTGCTTTAAATGCATATCTGCTGTATCTTCCAGACGAGTATTAGAAAGCAACTAAGTGATATACTCAAGGAAACTGGTATTGTATTCTTAGAGCTTTCAGTCTCACAAGATGTGCTGATAGCCTTTGAAACTGTGCTTTTCAAAGGTAAGATCCGATGCTTTTGCATACTCACATCTTCTTTAAAGACCAGATTTTGAAATGGATGGGCTGTGAATAACTATAGATGCCCATACATTGTATGAAAAATGACAAGCCAAGCAAAATTATAAATGAAGGTACTAATGTACTGTGCACATGGCAAAATCACCAATCTCAATTATTTTAAACATGTCTTGTGGCAGAAACTCTGTAAGCATATAATTGAAAACGAAGGTGCCTTCTGGCCCTGCCCTGCAGATGCCGTGGAAGAGAACAATTGGGAAAGTAGCTCATTTTTCCTCTTCTTCAGAGCTGCTTTCTTTGCCATGAGCTCTAGCTAAAGCAGAATCAGAAGCTGCATGATGACTGTGTAAACACCTCTTCAGCCATCTATTCTGTTTGCATTCACATCTTCAATCAATATTTTTTTTCCCTATCAGAAAAATTACAAGGACATTACCTTGCTGCTGCAGGATAAACCATTCTGACTGCTTAGAAGTTCCTGTTACTATCTTCCCATGCGTAGTTTTTAACTTTTACAGAATCTCAAATGACCTCAGTTCTGTTTACCATCACCTCTGCAAACCTACCTGCAAAAACCCAAAATGAAAAATGTCAAGGCTGTATTTTGCTTCAAAGATAAGAAAACATGCAAATCAGTATTTCTGTGATGTCACAGACCTGTTAGGTTTAATCCTATTCCTGCTATATGCAGAAACCCACTATTGACTTCAATGGGAGTTGGCATGAAGTGCTTAAATGTGAATAAATATGAAAGGTAGTTGTCAGTGATTTTCAGTGTGAAAATGATTTTGTAGACATTGTAAACAGAAGTGGCAGGTGGCAAATAGTTAGAAAACTGCAACTGAAGTCTACTAATGAAACATTTTGCTTTCTACAGACCTAATTTTCAAACGGTTTATAAAGATCTGTAGAGTTCAGGGAAGCTTTTAGTACTTTTATTTATAAAATTTGCTCTTCATTATCATTTAAAGCTGTGAACACAAATGGAATATTTAGCCATATGCACTGTTATAAGACGCTACAATCAATGTTTTATATTACTCTACAGTGCTCCAGCATCTTTGGGAAAATAACAATAATGGTATTTATACAAACCAATGTGTCAGTTGTGTAAACAGTTACCCACATTCAACTTCAATTAGATGCATGTACAAGTCTCCGCAAGACAAGCGTCTTTGAAGAAGTAGGAGAATTATTTTACAATCTCTGAAGATGCTTCACAGTTAATCCAGACCATGGTTCTCAAATAGGAAGTTACTTCATGTAGTAGAAATTTGGAATTTTTAAATAGTGTATTGTTTCATTTATTATAGAAGATGCGGCAATCCTGGCTAAATCATGAATACTTGTTAAAGATTTCAGTAGAAAATAGTATGAGATTAAAAGTTACCAGATTTCAGTCTTGTTACAAATGGTTGCAATTATTTTTTATTTTCTTTGCTCCTAAAAATGTTTTTGATCTGTGAACTAAATAAAAATCAGATTTTGCAGACATTTGAAGTTAAGGGTCCAGTTAAATGAATAAAGTTACATGCAGTGGTAAGTTTGAGAGATTCACCTGTAAGCAGGCATTTGGAAAGAATCAGTAAGCACAACAATTGACAAATACTTCATATTCTAGAACCATAGCCCTTCTCCTTTTGTGGATTCTAATTTACATTCCACTGGCTATGGACAAAACTACATTTAACTCCTGCTAACTGTCATGAAGACTATATGTCCTCAGGACAAGTTTTAATTCTTGAAAATAAAGAGTTTTGAAGACATACATTTATTTACTAGCTTTCCTCTTATGATTTTCAGGAAAGTATTGTATTTTTACGGACTGCAAATGCAGACTAAATGCTATATTTAAAATATTTTCCTTTAAAGTGTGAGAATAGTTCCCAGACACTTTGGATTGGTTTTAGTTTTGCTTGTCCTCACTGCAGCACCTCCTCTGTTTCAACTGTGTCCTCATCTGGGTACCCGGATCACTTGAGGTATCAACACTTATGTCAGTTCAATAAAAACCCCAAACAAATAATGTTGTGGTTGCATACACCAGGTATGTTTCTAGTGTTTGTAAGCTCTGCCTCAGGAGAAATGCCCATGAGCAACCAACCTCAAGAGTTCCCACAGTGTGAGGAGGCTGGCATTTTTAGGGGTAGTATCTCCACTGTAAGTTGCTTAGCTCCATCATAAGATGCTTTGGACCAGGGCTCATGGTGCGAGGATGTGCCCCAACGAAGGGCTGCTGTTTGCACCTGAGCGTGCGA